CGGCGATTTCAGAGATGCCTTGCCTCAGCAAAGGAGGAACACCAAAATTTCTGACCCAAATCCCTGAACTAAAGGAAAAACAAGCCAGCATTTCAGCCAAACGGAACAGATACAGGCCGTAGCTGGAATAACTGTACTTCTACTAACTTATCACTGTTCCCACAAATCACTGCCCAAAAAATTGAATCTGATACCGTAGATTAAACTGATTCCCCAAAACATTCGATACTGATGCCTCAGGCCATGGCACTAAACTTGCAAAAAATTGATATGTGCATTCCCTTTTTAGAGATACACTCTTAAAAGCACATAGCAAGTAAATGATGAACCAAAAACACCCCTAATGTCGGTGTAGGGTTTCCCTTCCTATTTTGTCAGGAACTAGGGTTTTACTATGCAGCAGCGGTTACAAACAACCTATAATCGAGTAGCAGCCTATCTTAGCTTTGGCAAATGGTCACTACGGATCCGATACACTTAGGTCGAATGCGTCAAAAAGGAGTGCCCGCTAAACCGGATTTGTGTTCCCAAACTGCAGAGCCCGTAATCGGTCAACCTTATGGCATGCAGCCTCAGGCAACTTGTCAGGAATAGCAAGATGGTAAACATTGGTCCTAGGCGCCACCAATGCACATGCAGTGCAAAGAAACACATAAGTGTAGTTAAAACAAGATATCACGAGTTCTAGTCAAGCTCCTAAAACTCCCCAGCAAGTCGTCAAGAAACTGTAGCGTTCCCGCGAACGCCCCGGGGAAGGATAAATCCCCCTCGCCGTTCTGTTCATTTGTGGTTGACTATATTTCAGACTCAAATGGTTGTCACGGTTCTTTAATCCTTGACTCTCAGCGAATGATCCACACTTGAGAATTGATAAATCACCTAAGAGTCAAATCCACAAATCGTTTGAGAAAAAACAGGATTTTTTTAAAAGAAAATGCTCAAAGAGTGGACTGCTTCGCCAGATACAGAGTCCCACCTAAATATTTTTTATGGTGGGGAATTTTAGGAAACCCTGACTCATTTGCTAAGGCGCACGTGTCCGTCATCACCAAAAAGTGCCTCGGCCGGGAAACTTGGGTACGATTGGGGAGGTCATCTGATGAGGCCACCCCTGCTCGCCCGAATCCGAAGATCAGCTTTACTAACCATGATATCTAGTTTTGAAAACTTATGTTTCTTTATTCAATTAATTAGTTAATCTTACATGTTTGATGTGCATAACTACAAAAAGTATAGACTAGATCGCCTAATTTGGAACAAAAGCATTGCAATCTTGTTTTGTTTCAGAAAATGGTTTGAAATTTGCTACTCGCAAGTAGGCTAAAACACAGATTCAATGAGTTGTTCCAACTCAAAACAATCCAACCTTCACCCACAGCATTCAGCATAATAATCACATAAGCATATAGCCACATCGTAATCATGTATTCATGTTAACATTTCACACTTATACGAGAATGCTAAAGCATAAATACTTACCCGGGCTACTCCAGAGCCCAAACAAAGAACATGTTAGCAATTCAAAACGTATGATTAAAATCCATTGTAAATGGGCTAATGCAACACAGGAAAAATGCAATCTGAATAGGCTCGGCTAACCTAGGATGGCATGTTAATGCAACAATAACATGTTATTCAAGTCAGATCTGAAATACTATGTAGTTTAGCCAGATGCGCCGAGCCGGTGCATGCAATACTGATGAATGAATGCACGCATGCATAGTAAAGGTTATGCTAAATTAAATATGCCTATACTAACCATTCACAAGCAGGTTAAGTAAAAGGAGAAAGAAATGGGGGTTAGAAGACATGCACTCAATAACCGACCTCGTACATGTTCCTTGTTAAACAATTTCGATCCTATTTTTGATTTGAATTGCTTATTGTATAATTCCTATGGGAATTTAATATTAAAGTACAGTAACCATGTGATTAGAACGTCTATCGTTCAACAAGAAGCTAGTATCTGTTACATGAGAATGCTTAGATCAGAAATTGGAAAGCCTTAGAGGCTTAATTATCTGCCCAACAATTCATCACATAAAACATCAGCATAATTTTTTTAAGTAATATTAAGCACTTCTGTGAAATTTCAATTTGGGGAGCTTTAAACGATTCATTATTTGTCCTTATTCAAGCTATCTATATTATGTATTACATGCTATAAGAGTCTTAGACTCATAAGCTATTGAGGAATTCATATTTTCTCCTAAGGGAAGATGAGGAGTGAGAGAAATGAAGTAGAGAGGGAGGAGATCATCAAACAAGGTTAGAATTTGTGGAAGATTTAAGACAAGGTATGTATAAGACTATCTCAATTGACTCCCATAACTCTCTTCTTAGATGTGTGAAATACCCTCATGATATGCACTTAGGGGTTGGAATATGATTCCATAGGTAGTAAGAAGTTAATGACAAGATAACCTTACTTGTTGTTTGATTAACTAAATTGACTATGGAGAAGTTATATCTATCTCTTATTTGAACTTAAGTGTTAGAAACATGATTTTGTGTATCCCATTTATGTCATGTGACATGAGAATGCTAAGAACCTTCAAGATATGAATGTGTTATGAGTTTCAAACTTTTGTCCATCGAATATTGATTATGTGTAGGGATTTAATTCAAGTAGAAAGTTTGTATTATTGTACCTTGAATTTCATGCTTTTTGAACCATGATTTAGTATTGAAAAGATCCCATTTTAGAGTCTTGTTCATGTCTTCCAAAAGGGTGGATTTTGCAAGAATTTTCGGACATTTTTGGGCAGAATCGCCGCACTGGCGGGGGTCATCCGTCGCACGAGGAGGTGCTGCTCCCACTTGGGAGTCATGGCCGCACGTGCGGGAAATGTGAAAAACAGCGGGATTGGCACTTCCCAAAAAGGCACGTGCGGACATTTTTGCCGCACGTGCGGGGAGAGCCTTGCCGCACGTGCTGGGGGCTCACAGCCGCCACGATCAGCCAATGCTGAAAAACATGGATCGCTCCGTTTTGCAGTAGAACCCTCTATATGTTGTCAGAATATGATTGATGCCTTTTAATTATGCATAAATGCCTTCGAAGTAAAAAAAAACAGAAAGTAATCGATATGAAAAGGAAACTTAAACCTAAGTAATTTGAATGTGTTGCAGGACACTCCGCAGGAACAAGCCACATCATCACAACACTGTGAGTATAGTGTCATTTATCTTCTATTACATATGGCTAATGATTTTCATTAGCATTCGTTTACGCGATTATGTTAATGTCTCAAGTACGCAAACTATGATTAATGTTTCAAGTATGTATGTTAGTGGTCAGATTATGTTCCAATATGTAAGAATTGAAATGGGAAAGAAAAATACTTTATTCTATAAGACTCTGGCTACGGCACTCAATACAAGCTATTGATGATTGAAACCATAAGTGCTACACGGAACTAAGTGCTTACGCGTGAGCCACCCTCTAGAATCCGTGTGAGACATCTATTCTATAAGTTATGTTTCAAGGGCTTAACCACTTTCAAGGGCTTTCAATGCCAACAGTAACAAGCCTTGCTGCACACTTCAAGGGCCTTAGTCCTACTATGTACAATGGCTGTGCCACCATGTTTAAAGGCTTGTGCCACTATGTTTCAGGGCCCATTATGAAACCATCCATAGGTGTGTTTAAGGGTTCAGAGTGTTATGAATCCTTCCCGTAGAAGAAACTAAGTGTAATGATATCTGCGTAACTTGATGCTTCAATGATTGGGCCTAAGGCCGTTTATAAGATGAATACAGAATCAGGTGTCGATCACCTTTATAAATGTAAATCTCTAGCTCACAAGTGATACATCATAGTAAACGTGTGTTATTTGTTCATTGATTTTCAATGGCTAGAGAATAAGTTTGCTCTATTAATTCTATTACCTATATTCATTCTGTATAGCACTTGCGGCTCTTGGACTCTTGTTATCTTCATTTGGTGGTTTCTTTGATAATTGCTAACCTCATATCCAATGCTCTGGGTCAATGACTTACCCGTGCAAGGATTAACCTATATGAGTCAATGACTCATGTCCTGGCTGTCTGGCGTGTTGATGGAGAACGCAATATAGTTGTGATTGTAAGCACTGCCACTAGATTGGAGCCACTGTTGATAGTGTTGTGTGAAGTTGTCCCTGGACTAAGTGGCCATAATTGGGGCTCTGATAATCGCTGGGCCTACCTTCAAGTTGATTGTCGTACAACGCATCTAGATTGAGTTTGTTTTGGCTGACTGTGCGACTATATATCAGAGTGGCCATAGTGAATCGCTCCTTCATATTTTTAGGGTTGTCGGGTATGTGTGTCCGTGTATAGATGCTACTGTCAAGAAAATAATTTTGGGGGGTTGTTTCCTCTATCAAGCTTCTATCCTTATGGTGCATGTAATGTATGAGATCCTGGCATGTTAGAAATAGCTCAATGGGATTTGCTTAATTTTGTATTCTTGTATGTTTTGTGCTTCCGTCAAGGCCCCATATAACGCATATATATACCAGGTTATATGTCTGTTTGTGAACGGGTCATGCCTGAACTGTTAGGGGCAAGTTCGGGGTGTGACAAGTGGTATCAGAGCACGAGTTGCTATCTCACACACGGATCCATTGAGCTGTAGGGTGTCTAGAAAAGCTTTAGGCATCTTGCATGACATTCTGAAAGTATATGAAAAAGCGATGGCAATGTTAAGTCTACTCTGATAATGCTAACACTTTTGAAATATGTCTATTATGTATAAATGATTATTGTGTAGGCAATGGTGAGGACAAGGACAAGATACAGAAGATGCTACTTCTGCACGGCTGGATAGAATGAAGAGAATGATTATGGAAATGGCGGAGACCCTACGGCAACAACAGCAACAACCACAACAACCACCCCCACCACTAGTACCTCCACCGGCAGTACAAGATTTCCATGCTGAAGACCGGACTATTACCCTTACTAAGGAGTTTAAAAAGATGAAACCGCCATCCTTCAAAGGAGGAATAGAACCAATGAAAGCTGAAGCATGGGTGTTGGGAATAGAGAAGCTATTTGAAGTCTTTCCCTGCACAGAAGCTCAGAAGGTGCAATTGGCTGCCTTTATTCTTGAGGATGAGGCACGCAGATGGTGGATGCTTACAAGAACTGTACATCAAGGGTTGACATGGGACAGATTTTTGGAATTGTTTTATGACAAGTACTTCCCTCAAAGAATGCGAGATAAGAAGGTAACGGAATTCGAAACTCTCAGGCAAGGGAACAAAAACGTTGCGGAATATGAAGCCCAATTTGCAGAATTAGCTCGGTTTGCACCCCATATGGTGGATACGGATTATAAGAAGGCGCGCAAATTTGAAGGGGGAGTACGAAGTGCTATCCTGGATAAGGTCAACATGTTGAAGCTACCTACTTACGTTGATGTGTTGGAGAGAGACGTTATAGCGCAAGGAAATCTCGCTACTCAGAGCCGAATCTCGGAATGGAAAGGGAAGAGACAAAATACTCAATGGTCGAAGGGATCACCTACTCTACCAAACAAGAAGCAGACTTTAGGGAATTCAAATACTTCTACCCCTAGTCAGGATTCGATACCGACTTGCCTGGAATGTGGGAAGAAGCATCGTGGAACGTGCTATCGGAAGTCTGGAGCCTGTTTTCAGTGTGGTAAGACGGGTCATTTGATCAAGGATTGCCCTCAAAGAAATCAACAAAGTAATAATAGAACCACTACAAGTTCAGCGGGGTCTGCACCGACTTCCAACACCAAGGCAACTGTTAAACCTTCTAATAATAAAGACACTGTGAGACAAGGCAGGGTGTTCGCATTAGTTCCGGGAGATGTGCAAAATGCAGCAACAGTGGTGTCAGGTACATTTATTGTTCACGGTCATTTTGCTCACGTATTATTTGATTTTGGCTCCACCCACTCTTTTGTGTCGAAACTATTTGCTCCTAAGTTAGATAAAACTGAAGAAAAACTGTCTTATATGTTGTGTGTGACTTCACCTTTGGGAGGCCCTATGATTTGTACTTCTATCTATGTTGCTTGTGAACTCCAACTTGGGGATATCCGGGTATATGCCAATCTGTTACCTCTTGATATGGCCTATTTTGATATTATTCTGGGAATGGACTGGTTAGGTGAATATGGGGCAACTATAGATTGTTTGACTAAACAAATCAGTTTCCACCCTCCGGGACAATTAGGGTCTACCTTTTAGGGACATGGAGTGACTTCACCACCTTATTTAATTTCCGCAGCAAGAGCTTGTAAATTAATTCAGAAAGGGTGTCAGGGGTATTTATGCAGTGTTCTAGAGGGGTCAGGTACATTTATCGTTCACGGTCATTTCGCTCATGTATTATTTGATTCTGGCTCCACCCACTCTTTTGTGTCGAAACTATTTGCTCCTAATTTAGATAAAACTGAAGAAAAACTGTCTTATATGTTGTGTGTGTCTTCACCTTTGGGAGGCCCTATGATTTGTACTTCTATCTATGCTGCTTGTGAACTCCAATTTGGGGATATCCGGGTATATGCCAATCTGTTACCTTTTGATATGGCCTATTTTGATATTATTCTGGGAATGGATTGGTTAGGTGAATATGGTGCAACTATAGATTGTTTGACTAAACAAATCAGTTTCCACCCTCCGGGACAATCAGGGTCTACCTTTTAGGGACATAGAGTGATTTCTCCACCTTATTTAATTTCCGCAGCAAGGGCTTGTAAATTAATTCAGAAAGGGTGTCAGGGGTATTTATGCAGTGTTCTAGAGGGGCAAATGGTGAATGGGAATACCGACATGATCCCAGTTGTTTGTGAATTTCCGGATGTTTTTCCAGAAGAACTACCAGGACAGTTAATAGATCGTGAAATTGAGTTTACAATTGAAGTAGCACCGGGAACTCAACCCATTTCTAAGACTCCGCATAGAATGTCGCCAGTTAAAATGAAAGAATTGAAAATGCAGTTGCAAGATTTATTGGACAAGGGATTTATCCGCCCGAGTGTATCTCCGTGGGGTGCGCCAGTTTTGTTCGTAAAGAAGAAGGACGGAACACTCCGGCTTTGTATCGATTACAGAGAACTTAACAAAGTCACAATCAAGAATAAGTATCCGTTGCCAAGAATTGATGACCTATTTGATCAGCTTCAAGGGGCACAGGTCTTTTCTAAGATTGATCTACGGTCTGGATACCATCAATTAAAAGTCAAGGCTGATGATGTTGAGAAGACAGCTTTTCGAACTCGGTACGGTCATTACGAATTTTTGGTCATGCCCTTTGGAGTTACTAATGCCCCAGCTGCCTTTATGGATTTGATGAACCGCGTTTTTAAGTCCTATTTGGATGAATTTGTGGTGGTCTTTATTGATAATATCCTCATTTATTCAAAGAATGTGGAAGCTCATGAAACCCATCTTCGTTTAATTCTTCAAACCCTCCGGGAAAGGAAATTGTTTGCAAAGCTTAAGAAATGTGAATTTTGGCTATTCGAGGTGGCATTCTTGGGGCATATTATCACAAAGGAAGGAGTTTCTGTTGATCCACACAAAATTGAGGCGATTGTGAAATGGCCGACTCCTACCAATGTGACCGAAGTGCGTAGCTTTATGGGATTAGCTGGCTATTACATGAGATTCGTTCAAGATTTTTCTAAAATTGCTGGGCCACTTACACAATTGACTCGGAAGGGAGTTGCGTTTGAATGGTCAAAAGAGCGGGAATCCGCTTTCCAGGAATTAAAGATGAAATTAACCACAGCTCCAGTTTTAGCTTTACCATCTGGCACCGAAGGGTTTGTAATTTACAGTGATGCGTCCCATAAGGGATTAGGGTGTGTGCTTATGCAAGGTGGAAGGGTCATTGCCTATGCTTCACGACATCTTAAGCCCCATGAAAAGAATTATCCCACGCATGATCTTGAACTCGCGGCGGTGGTTTTTGCTTTAAAGATATGGCGGCACTATTTGTATGGTACTACCTGTGAAGTTTACACCAACCACAAAAGCCTTAAGTACATTTTTACCCAGAAGGAATTGAACATGCGGCAGCGTCGGTGGTTAGAGTTAATTAAAGACTATGATTTACAGATCCATTATCATCCCGGTAAGGCCAACACGGTTGCAGATGCTCTTAGTCGGAAAAATATGGGGGATTTGGCCAGCCTGTTTACGGAGCAAAGGGAATTGGTAAA